CCAAAGATTAATAACAAGTATTAACATTCTTCGTTTATAAAGATGGCCAAACCTTTGTAATGTGATTTTTAAAACGTACATTTTTATTCACCAAGTTGAACTAATAAATAATAGATACTATATTATATCACTCGAAATATAAGTAAAAATAGCATACCAATTTATAATTATTTTTTTAAGGGATGCTGATGAGAATACTTATTTAGTATTAAAATAGTTATAGAGCAGCCAGTGTAATAGGCACCAAGTACCAATATAGCAAACATTTTGCAAAATATCGAAATAAATGTTACTACCGAGAATTCGATGATGGAATATGTCAATACAGAACACTTAAAAAAAGAATAAAGCTCTATACCAGCATTTTTTCTTGTACCGTAGGTGCTATTCACAAACACAATATCACATACATACACATATATAGACAACGCACCTGTAACTCCTCTGGTGTTGTGGGTGTCCATGGGCGGCGCTGATCGCTTACCATCAGGTGATCCGTCTGCTCGTTTGCCTCCTATTCCATAAAAAAGGTCCTGCAGAACATAGACTTCTTCTATGTTCAACAACAACAACAACAGCGTATAAATGCCCACTTGTGATCAAAGCTTCTTCTCAAACGGAGAAGGTGTGAGCATTAATCACCACGCTTGTTCAATGCGGGTTGGCGATTACAAACTTATAATTAGAAATTATAAGCTCAGGTTTACTCACGATGTTTTCCTTCACCGTTTGTCAGTGGTGTCTAGGTAATCTTAAAAAGTACATATAAGTCGGAAAAACATTGGTACTTGCCGTTGGTAGGTTTCGAACCCGCACCCTCATGCATGATAAGCGGACATCTTTAACCTCCAGGCCACCACGACAGACATGCTCAATGGCATTCAAATTGTAACAAGCACATTATCTCAAAATATCAATTTCAAATTGCCATTTCATTGAAACTATTTATACCGATACGACATTTGATTCGATTGATTTATATTCGTGTTTATTCAGTGATGCATGGTAACTTGATATACATATAAAACATTGGCGATTCAACTCCGAACTAAAACAAATGAAAACGAACCGCGATAAAAATACAAACTAAACAGAGTTAGTCCTAACTTTTTCACGGTAGTTTTAATACAAAAACTAGGTTTAAAATGCTAATTTTTAATATTAATCCCATAGAAATAACAGTACGTATTTAATACAACTTTATAATAGGGCTTGAAAAAATAAGCCTAGTTTTTTGTACCAACTCAAAAGTATAATTGTAACACTCATGTGTTGTTGCGATTAGAGTCGAGTCAAAATTGAAAATTATTGTTTACTAGCGGACCCAACAGACGTTGTCCTGCATATCCACTTGAATGTACAAACAAAAATTCATTCAAATTAGTTCAGCTGTTTAGGATAAATAACCTAAACATCGACTGCAGCGCCATCTGCCGGGGTGATTTGTGAATGTAAGCCATTCCCAGAGCCCCTTGAACACACAAAAATTTCATCAAAATTGAATCACACTCACAAGAATTATAAAGATATATCATTCGACTCGGAATTAGTGGAAAAAAATCACTAGTGCCGACGTGTACATGCGGAACCTTGTTTAATAAAAAATAAAACAAAAGTTAGCTATGCGACGTCGCGTTGTTGTACATGATATTCTTATTTATTAAAGCCAGTAATAATTTGAAAGTAGTTGAGCCCTCGAACACTATCGTAGTCGTTGGTAAGATACTCAGTATGTCTCTCAATATTTTCCTGTTCTATAAAATATAACAGAACTTTTATACGACAATAAGTTTTATACAATAATAGCTTATAAGTCAAAATATTATATTTTATAGCCTAATATATTATGGCCAATTGTATTTTATTTTTTATATATTTTATAGGATGGCATTTGCATGGCTACCATCTCGTGTTGCAGTTTACAAAATGTTCCGTACACACAAAAATTAGACAAAGTTACAATGACACAATGTTGTCTACAGTGGAAAATTTAAATTATGCATACCTATAATATTTTAAATGAACAACGCCAAACAGGTGCGAAATTTCTGTATTTTAAACTTTAACTATGGGACTCAATTATATTTTATTACCAGGTAGGTAGGTACAAACGAACATTACTGTCTGTTTTACAAATATGTATTTAAATAATTTCACTAAAATTATTAATATCTTCATACATCTTCATAAAGCTTGTAGTGTAACTTATTTTGTGGGGAAAATCATCCATTGACTTCTCCCGCCTTAGGTAAGGCAAGAGGGAGTGTCAAACTCTTACTGACTGAAAACCACCCCGTTCTACTCTTATGTTATCTGCAGCTCTGGTTGTAGTGTGAGTTCTTAACAATTTTTTTGAATCTGGTTTTCATTATATAATCAGGCCATTAAAAACTGTAAATAAGAACGTTTAATTTTCGAATAAAAATAATACTTACCTATTGGTTCAATACTCTATCCTCTATCCTCTTGAGTCGATCGCACTCCTGAGAACTAACATAAGTTGTTGTTATTATAGCAATTAGAATATATACCCTTCTAACACCTACATAAGATTCTAAATTAATCGAGTTCATTTACACGCACCTATATCAACAAAGTATAATCATATTAAGTAAGATATCCTATGTCCTCTGTGGCTCTACGATACATATTCATGTTGATACAGACATAGTCCTATATCTCTAAATATAAGTACTTCATTCGATTTGAAGACTGTTTTGTAAAATTTTCCTACTAGTTCAACTATTGATCAAAGACAATTTTGTCTACAGAGTTTAGAACTACATCATATATACAAATCATTAAAAAATTGCCAGAAAGTAGGTGGTACATTTAAATTATAAATACAACCCTGTCTACCTCTACGGAGAAATGAATCTCACGATTAATTACACGAATGGTAGCCTTTGAACCAAATTTTTCACGAATGGTAAGAGTATACAAAATGGAACACAGGTACGAAATACTCAAAATCTTAATTCTGTTGGCTGTTGTTAGTAGAGCGGACATAACTTTTAAGTAAATGTACAAACCCCATCCTTAAAGCCTGCGGCGTATGTACACGGCTGTATAATATGTGTGTCATATATACATATAAGTATAAACATAAGTATAATGGGCGCACATCGTGTTCGTATATAAAATGTAAGAGATTCTTGATGTTTGGTGACGACAGTAACGCTTAATGATTTTCCTCAAAATTCTCTACTGAAATTTTACTCTCTGATAGTGGTTACTTATTTTAAATTATTATCTCCTCTATTACAAGTCTGATCTGATTCTTCGTGCAATTAATGCCCCTAAATATCTGATACTAATATAATTATCAATATTACAGTGTTCAAGCTTTAATAATTTTAAGCTTCTATTGATTTAATTCAATCAAAAACCATTGCTGAATAGAATTCAATTAGTCATCTATTTGACTTCACTTGATTTGTTTAGAGAATATTTATAGAATTTAAGACTTTTAAATAATTATTCCGAAAAGCTGTATTTCAATATGGCTTAAGCTATTTTACAATTACTTAAGCGTCACTGGCTTACACACACATACACACACACCAACATTCATGCTTATAACACGAAAACTATTTGATACGATTCTTTCAAAAGCAGTCGGTAAGTCTCCTTTACATTTTTTTGTTAATTTGAGTTTTCAGCGAGCCTTTGTCGTTTCGTGAGTCAGCAAAAAACTTGCCTAAAGGCTTAGATGAGATTCTCTAGCATCTCTATTGTTGAGACCTAAATATTTGTCAGACCCAAAGACTTAAAGGACTTACTCGGCTTTTCATTAACTTTAATCTAGAGAACAGACTATTTTAAAGCTATTTATTATTTAGAGTATTCGTAATTTCAAAATGTATTATTTTTGTTTGAGAAAATGACCTTAAGATATTATTTTAAGTGAAAATCTTGAATTGAATCACAAATATAATACGCATAACTTGTTTCGTTGAAATGTACTAATAATGAAGATGAATACTGAAACAGACGCAGATAACGAAATAAATTCGCAGAAATTGTATTTATCATCTAAAATTACAGGAGGGTCTCCTAAACTACGGCGCATTAGTAGGAAAAATCGTCGCGAATATTGATTTCTGAGGGCTAAGCGTCGGTAACAGAACCCCTGGGAACTTGAAAACAGCGATAATCAAAAAAATATTCTTTTTTCGGTAAATGTTCCATCATTAATTTATTTGGACGCAGAATTTCAACGATTGGTTGTGACGAATTGATATTTTTCATGAGTCCTCTTCGGCAAAGAGGGGCATTTATTCCATGGGTTCTGCAATTTATTACTCTCATTTATCATTTCATCGAGTTGAAGCGCCCTAACGTATCACAACGAAGAGCCGTCTTTTGTACATTGCCCTTTTATTTATCCTCTTATATAGCCCTAATTAATGTTTTATGTCTGATAGATCCTTTCCACTCGTTTCGGATTACATTGGCTGTTTTGTGATAAACAAAATTTTGCGTAATATGTAGGTACTGGGATTAACATTAAAATTGAAAACATTTCGTAAATTCGTCCATCACTCGGAGCGTTGCTTTCGTGAATTTCATATTTTTGTAATGAGCTGTCGATTTATAACATTAAAATTGTTGAATATTTTGAAGTCCTATCATTGCTCTGTCAATAAAGTGTCACATTTAGTAGTCTGTAGAATGGGGTTTCGTATAAAATATTGTTCATTTCAGCAGGGGTATATAAAGGAGCTTTCATGTCAAAATTGGGCTAGAAAACGATTAAATAAATGAACAATGAAACAATAACAATTTACTGAATATAACAAGCTTTAACGTGTCAATAACAGTGTAGTGCAAACAAACGAAACTCATTCGCTGTGTGACTGAAGTGAAAAACAAAACAACGGCAAAAAAAATGTTTGTGCAAGTGTAAAAACAACAACAAAAAATTTTGTAAAGTTGATTTTTTATAGTGATTGTGTTGAGTGAGGGTAGTGTGTTATGGTGGGAGGAGTAGTAACAGCATGACCACGTGGATGGCGCTGTTCGGGCTAGTGTGGCTGCTCCGCGTGCGTGGTTCGCTTTGCGGCTGCGCGGCGTGCAGGCGAGCGCGCCACGATGCGCAGGAGATCCAGTGCGCTCCTAGCCCGCGCGCGCCCAGCCCCGAAGAGCAAGCCCCGTTTGACGTCATCACACTGGAGCATTACACCCGTGACGTCACTGTACAGACTGACTTCGACGATGAAGACGTCGAGGATCTCGACAAAATCGAGATGCAGATATCTGAAGAATGTAAGTTTTTAACTTTTCCTTTGATATATTTTTACTCGCACTTTAGGAAATTATTTATGACTAACATAATACTATACATATAAGTTTTTACTATTTAAAGGCGCTACAACGCTGAGTTCGTGTCTTCGTCAATTTATATTATATTATAATTATATATATGAAGTTATTTATGTACATATTTTGTGTTTATTATATATTTTTATACATTATGTTATACAGTATTTATTATTGCTATTAGTTATTTATTTTGTTTCTTTTGCATAATTATTACACAAGCCCATTTTCGCTGAGCTTACTTTTAACCCAAAGGTTGACTGGGAGAAAATGCCATATGGCATTAAGTCCGCCTTATGTACCTTATTTTGTGTGCATTAAAGTGTAAATAAATAAATAAATAAATAAAATATAATATCACTTTTAAGTCAGCTTTCAAATTCTCAAATAACTTTAGTTTTCAGCTACAAACTAGACTTGCGCCCGAATACTAAAAGACTATTCAATTTTAAGTTGTATTTAAATATCGTGCCATCTCGTTCATTGCACAAAGAATTTGTAGCGACATAACATTATACTTAAGCGCGACTTGAAATAGAGTAGCGTTTGAGTATTAAGGCATAATACACACTTATAGATTTTTAAATTTCGTCGAAATAAACAAAACGACATATAAAATGGTTCTTGTTTAAATGTCAAATGGAATAAATAGTTCTCATATATAAAGACTCATACTTACATAATATCAAAAACAAGACGAAGAAATACAATTAGGTCAAAGAAACTACTTTGTTCCCTTTTTCGGTAAGATATATATTCCATTTATTATGACACTATACATCTAAAAATAATTGGGTTGCTTGTTTTACGTTTGCTGAAATAGATTTCGAATGCCATGTTTAGTCTCTTCTCATAAAATTAGACACTCGGGAGCTAAGAATCGGAGCCGCTAGCATTTTTTTCATTTTATCGAAGCCTCTAAAACTTTAAAAAAGATATTCCTTTTACAACAATAATGCTATCATTTTAAAGGTTCAATAAAATTACCTATTATGCTACATACGTTACCAATTAATAAAATACATGTAGGTATCAGAAAATATTTATCATGAACGTAAAAGCAAAAATCGCCAGTGGCTCTATTTCTTTGCATCTAAGTGTAGTATATGTCGTGGTGGCCCGAAGGTTTAAGACGCTTCTCATGCTTGGTTGTCATGGGTGCAGGTTCAAAAGCTACTAATAGCAAGTACTAATATGACTCCTTCCGAGTTATATGTAATTTTTAAGATTATTTAGACACCACTGACAAACGGTGAAGAAAAACATCGTGAGGAAGCCTGGGTTTATAATTTCTAATTATAAGTTTGAAATCGCCAACCCGCATTAAGCAAGCATGGTTATTAATGCTCAAACCTCCGCTATCTGAGAAGAGGCATTGCTCAGCATTTATAGGTTTTTGATGTATGTATGATGCATGTATATTTTATAAAGTTATGGCCTCATAGAAAACCGACGTTAAACAACGCTTACGTTGTGTTTCGTCGTGTGAGTGAGGTTACCAGAGGCCCAATTACCCCCCCCCCCCTCCCCAGTCTGCCCAATTCCCGAATCCTCCACAATCCTCAAACTCTCAATTCCCAGGCGCCGATTGCTTACCATCAGGTGAACCGTCTGGTCATTTACCGGCTTATACCATATAAAAAACGTTTATATTCAGATGGTCAACACAAAATCTCTATTTTTGACAATTTGAAACTAAGATCAAAACACTATACCTGCAACAGCAGCAACCGCTTGACCAAACTAAATAGATGCCTAAACGAAATCCCAAACTAAACATTATTTATTTCTAGTCACAACAATGTTTCAATATTATACTGTAGTTGACAAAATATATCAACTTAAATTTAAATCAGTAATAATGATTCTAATTACTGATTGGTTAATTAATGCTGTGCTAATATTTGGTGCCAATAATCATTGAACTAAAATATTGTGATTATGAACTCCGAGTGAAATACATACTCTCATATTAAAAGTTCTTGTTGGTAAATTTTGTGATCGAATTATTTCTATTATGCAATGAATTGAAATAATGGTATCCTAATTGTGGTGTAAAAAAATAACTGCTGTGTGGGAACATTCTGCACTTATGTTAGCTAGTAGCCTTAAAAATAGAATACTATCCTATATTAACTAAAATATGCGGGTTATTCACGTGAAAGTATTGAGAAAAAAATCTAGTTTCGAACCGATGTAATAGGCTGCGCGAGATCGCTGCGACCGCGCACGCTGCTCATAAGAAAAAACCTCTCTGTGGTTCGAAACTAGTAAAGCTGTTCTCAGTATTTTCACGTGAGTAACCCACGATTTTAAGTTAATTTAGTATGTTTCTCTATAGTTATTATAAAATCATAATATCCTATAACAGTCGTCTATGATAGGAATCTAATTAACCTTTGCTATAATAATATCTAGTATCGAATAAATTAGCATAGCATTATACCCAGCTTAATTTAATCATTACCCCAGGCTTTGATACATGGTATTATGAGGGGTGTTGTCGATATTAATTTTCTTGAGGCATTGTTTTGGACCGTACTCAAGCTTGTACATAACTAGGTGTGTTTTGAGGTATCTTTTATGTGAGAACCTGATTGGTTGAACCTTCTGTTAAGGTACATCTATATATATAAAAAAAGTCGTGTTAGTTACACCACTTATAACTCAAGAACGGCCGAATAGATTTGGCTGAAAATTGGTAGGGAGGTAGCTTGGAGCCAGGAGACCGACATAGGATACTTTTTAACCAACATTTTTTTTTTACTTTTTACCGAAAATCACGAACGGGGACGTGAACAAATGGGATTACGCGTACGAAGTCGCGGGCAGAAGCTAGTATCTAATATTTATGCTTCCTCCCGAAATCAATTAGATTCTAATTTTGTTTGTGATTCGAATTCGTTTTTGATACTAACTCGTAGAGTGTGCTGTAGAAAAAAATTAAATGAACACAAAAAAAATTCGAACCAATCAGTGTTTAGCACCCAAAACCTTCATAAAAATATGCAGTTATAAAGTATATTATTTTAAAATATAACTTTCGTGAGACAAACTATGTATATGAATTATTATGTTTTTCGGTAAACTCGCATAATTATGTGACGAGGAACTCGACTAGTTTCAGCCATGCTAAAGACTGATACCCGCAACGCGGCGACAGTCGTGTTGGTATTGAAACTAGTCGAGTTCCTCGTTAAATAATTACGTGAGTAAACCGAAAAACATAATGATTAATTTAAATATAAAGTAGTTATTTTTAATTTCCAACCAATAAGAAAACAAGTAGGTTAAAACAACTATACTATAAAATCCTTAGGCAACCTCCCTTAAGAGCACTTCAACTTAACTATTGATTCAATGCCAATACTTCAAACAATAAATAAAAATCAAAACTAATACCTTATTGGTCGAGTCCTGTAACAAGCATATTTTAATGAGAAAGCCAGCACGTCATCAAGGGAGATTGTGTTCTACTGCAGTTCTTACTAAGTACACTTTTGAATGACAACGTTATACAATAAATAAATACGTAGATGGTCGCAGACCTAATCAAGGTTTAGATTTGTTTTAAAAAAAGGTCCATTGTGTATGAAAATTGAAAAATGTTAATAAGGTACTTTTATACTTCAGTAAGAAGGACGTGTTAAATAGGAAGTGTTCTCAACACACCAATTAAACAAACAGAAACGTGTAGAATAAAATTAAAATTTTTACTTTACACCCTAAATTTTCACACAATTATGATGGTGAGATGAAGCGTCATTGAGAATAGTCCACAGATTTCATTATCACCTACTCCATTAGAATTATAAAAAAGGTAACGTTTTGTCATCAAGACCGTTTTTATTCTGCGACTAGCTTCTGCCAGCGGCTTCGCCCGCGTATGAACCGTTTTGACGTTGACAAGTTACAAACAAACACACAAACACATAAACTCACAAATTTTTGCATTTATAATAGCGGTTCAACCTCAATTCTACCATCGGCCCTATAGTTACAGCGTAAGGTCCACTGTTTTTTTTTTTGAGTTGGGAAAATCATCCAATGACTTCTCCCGCCCGGGTGAGGCGAGAGGGAGTGTCAGACTCTTACTGACTAAAGACCACCCAGTTCCTACTCCTGCACTTCGAGTCGGAGCCCCGGCAACCCGTTCAGTCTTCCGCGGCTCCGTATCGGCATCAGCCCTGTTGGGCCCCATCTGTGGTGGTCTGATGGCTTCTTGAGGCGCGCGCGGAACGCGACACGCCGTACGCTCGGGCCTGGTTCTGGTCGGGCGGCGAGTCACCCGTGATCGCCGATCGTCCGCAGGCCCGTGCTTACGGTGGCCGGAGATCGTCTCGCGTTCCCTGTCGTTCTGACTGTCGTTCGCGACGGACGGGGCGTGAGGAGGTTTGTTCCCTCACGCGCTCCGCCTCCTCCTTAGCTAGCATGACTGCTTCGCAGAAGGAGGAGACGGCATCCTAGTCCCCCTCGCTCTGTACCATGGTCTAAACCAGAGCCGGACGCGAGAGGTCACCGTTGCCGATCATATCCTTGAGGACACGGCGGTGCTCAGCCCACACAGGGCACACCGCCACCGTATGTTCCACAGTGTCGTAAGGTTTACTGCTGGCAGCCCAACATTCGACAAACTTATATGAGCTGCACAATTCAGTTTATTTTTAAGTTTTTTTCAAAATAAATGTTACTCAGTATGATGCCCAGGATATTAAACTATAATTCTACCACATTTCACCGTAATCGGACCGGTAGTTTTTGCGTGATGCTTGAACATACATACAGACAGACCAGAAAAATTAATCACATTTTTGAGTTCTAAAGAGTATCTTTCTAGAAACACCCCTATTTCTAATATTCTATTTATTCTTTTGAATATTACTAATGTCCAGAATTCACCCTTCTACAGTTTTATTATATGTGAAGATTTCTTTTAGCGAGGCAGCAAAATAAAAGTAAACATTACCGATATACTTACATTACCCAAACATAAAAAGAAAAGTTTGAAGCGAATAAAAACCCACAAGTAATAGAATCTTCTGGCGAATTCCATTATATTATTCTTCGTCTTAATATTACGTTTCTTAGTTGAAACCGCTTACAATGAAACTTGTTTAACGAAAGCCATAAATCACGAACCAGATTTCTCAAATATATTAAAGTATGGAAAAATGTGTAATATTATATGGAATGTTTAATTTTAGTATTCAAAGTTACGGTTTTTAGATAAAAATACGAATTAAAGAGTCACTCGTCTTATAAAAAGTTATACCTTTTTTGACGACAGATAGTAAATTTAGTTATTGGCATAGAAAAAAAATTTACGATCAATAAAGATTATTGGTTTTTATATTTTTATTATGACAAAAATTTTAAAGAATATTTGTTTTTAATTACATATTAGGTTTCCAAACCGCACACTTATGCTAAAGAATCACCATATTTTCCAGCGACCAGAACCCGACTAAGTTACCAAGAATTTTGAAATCTATTCCAACTCATTTCAATATTTCAATATTTTTACCCACTAGACAAAAATAACAGACGCTAAAAAGCAGATGTATCAAATATTTTAGTTCAACCCTCTCTTTTCCTTCAGACAATGTCAACCATGATTTTATTTATATAGGTAACTATGATATAAATACAAATAAAAAGAAAATATGAATATCAAAACGCATCAGAAGCTCACGAGTCGAGTCGTTATGTCAAACAGCTTCCGCACCATTACAAACAAAAGAAAGATCTATCACGCTTTGTGAATCAAATTACTGACGGTGTCAAATATTTTCGAGTATTTTTTCCTTGAAATGTCAAAGGGAATTGTGACTGACTGTTCTGCAGGAAACTGCGTGCTGCCTCCGTTTTGCATGTACTCTTGTATAGTAAGTCATCATGTATGGTAAGCCATGGAGATTTTAAGAAAAGTTTTTATGTAACTTCACTTTTGAATGTAATACCTAGAAAGTTTGATAAAAGTCATCATTATCATTATCGTCTTAAGCCTTTTTTAAACAATTTGTGTGTAGTCCTCGAAAGTATTGAAGAATCCTTTCCACTAAGCCCTATTTTGGGCTGTGAGTATTCAATTTTGTCCCACGACCTCTGTGATGTAATCTTGACATCTCGGTTGCTGTCTATCGCCTGAATACTGAAAGGCTACTCAATTTAAAATTGTACTTAAATATCGTGCCATCTCTGTCATTTTACAAAGAATTTGTAGCGACAGAACTACACTTAAACGCGACTTCAATTTGAGTAGCGTTTGAGTATTTAGACATTTAGTCATTTATGTTCTGATGTCCCCACTCCAGCAGATTCTTACACCACGAATTGTATTTATGGGCTATGTGACTAAATACGCATATTATCAATATTATAGTTATTTGTCTACATTAGAATGTATTATATTCACATTGATTCAAAGTAGAAGCTATTACTTTAAGCAGTAGAATCCATGCTAAGTCGGTTAAAGGTTAAAATAGATACGACCTACTTCAGAATCTAGTACAAACTACTTTGTTTTGCATTTACGATGTTTCTGACCATACTATCTGCCGCAAAGCTAATAATATGTGGACAATATGGAGCGTAAACTACTACTGAATGAAATATGTTATTATTCAATGAAATTGAAGGTCATTCTAATAACATTTTTGAGAACACAAAGTGTATTTCTTCATTCTTTTAGTACTATCATAACTATTATTAATATTTGTTATTCAAATGACTCTCTGATAAGTTTACTCAGAGCTGTTGATATTTGATGGAGTCGTCAAAATGTATTGTCCTTTTATAATGTTGTTTCCATACTACATGTACTTTACAAATGAGATGAAATAGAACATTTTTTGTCCACAGCCAATGTTGGGAATTACGAGTGCGGGCGAGAGCAGTCAACGCATAGTCCAGTAAGTGGTCAGCAAGCAAGTAGCTTTCAGGTTGGTTCCATATTATTTTAAAAGTATTATTATCGAACAATACATGAAAATGGTAAACGGAATTTGACTATAAAATAAAGATTAGTTCAGTACAGAGACGGTAACCATTGGTTGACTACTGAACCGACCAATAGTTACAGAAGATGTAGCTTGGTTAAGAACTAAACAGTTTATTGAAATGATATTATGTACTGTCTCTGGACTGAATCAATCCTTATTTTCTTACCTATATACTAAACAAGCTACTTCCGCGCGGTTTCACACGCTCTACTCAGCTCCTATTGGTCGTAGCGTGATCTTCTATAGCCTATGGCAATCCTCGATAAATGCGCTATCCAACACAAAAAGAATTATTCAAATCAGACTTGTAGTTACGGAGATTAGCGCGTTCAAACAAACAAACAAAAAAACAAACTCTTCCGCTTTATTTAATAGTATAAAAAAAGATATAAGATATCTGTGCTGGATGTACATGATGAGTATATACATATAGGGTGTAAACAGAACGTTCCCGAAACGCTGAAAAAAAGATATTGTTTATACAATTTTAATTGTTTTAATTGTGTTATTCATGCAACATCAGCCTTGGGCAGTTGATTGTAACTATTATTATATAAAAGAAACATTTAATTCCTTACTTTTATGAAAATAAAACTGGTTTTTTACCATCACTGTCGACTTTTTTCGGGAGTGTTCTGTTTAAATCCAATATAATTTTATTAAGCTGATCGCCGCCTCGTCTACATATTACATGGTTTCCGACGTAGGGTCGGTAAACGAACTAAATATAGCTGCCCCACATAGGCAACGTAATAGAGATGATTTAGTTATAAGAGGGTTATTGCAAATAATAAGTGCCAAGAGATTTTGTTACTAGCTTCATTAGATTTGAAAATAAAAGTAAATTAATGTTTTTTTTGGTTTTACCAGGATTATTAGGTAAATCCTAATTTCTACTTATAATATTATAAATGCGAAAGTTTGTTTTTTTTTTTTTTTTTTTTTTTTTTTAATATTATAAATTATTTCTCCACGGACTCTAGGTCCGTGCCCTTGTCATACAGTTTTTTAATTATAATACATCTAGTCAATTTTTATAAAGTAAAGAGGGAACCTAGTTACACACTACAATTAACTACATCTAAAATTATTACCAAAAGTATAGGTTACATAATAATTAGGCACTATTTATTTATTTCTATTTCAAAGGCTTTATGAAACCAGCCCACCAACAAGATGGGAGAGCCGACCTGACCCAGCAGAAGGCACCCGTTCACGAGTATGACGTGTGTGTCAGCAATTGGTCCGGTCAACCTTTTTATTGGGAACGGAACAACCCAACACACAGCGCCACCGACTGTAGGACATTTATGTGTGCATGACGCCTCAACCTTTGCCACATGGGCCGATTCCAATAAAGCGTACAATAGTCCAAAGTCAATTGGTTATATTCTATTTCTACATGTTTCTGCACACACATTTCCTCATGTTGCATTCGTTCCATCACAAGCAACACTCCCCGCCCAAGAGAGCACCCATGACTGCCGCGTCCCTGTGTCTGATAGCCATTTTCAGGTTGTAGTCCTTAATACCTTGCTCACCCTCATCAGCCGCCTTCCTGATTAGTTTGCTTATCGCGTCTTCACTGTTGTCTGTGTAATAGATGCAACCATGCGTGTGACGCGATATTGCTACTACCGCGTGTGGTACGCTGTCATGTATTTGATGTTTCTTTGTTGCTGTGTTGACAACAATCACATTCGCACACGAAAGTCCCTGTGCCTCGTGTATCGTGAGCACGCGTGATCCCACGGTCGACCCGTATCCCTGGTTCTTAAGGGATTCCTTCTCTGCCTGAGTGTGTACCAGGTATAAAGTGTCGGGGAGTGACTTTGGAATCATCGCCCCCGAGAACCTTTTTATCTCGAGGGATCTCACGAACGACCTGGACGAGTATATGCCACTGTAAACTGTGCTGAGGGCATACGCCACATCCATTGGATTTCTGTGGGTACACATCAATTCCTGGCTTATGGGCGTGATATATGTAGGGCGGCTGTAGAGTAGAGGGAAGAGGTTATCACGATCTATAAACGGAAGCTGATTTATGTCACCAATTAGAAGGACTTCCTTGGCTCGAGTTATTCGGGCGGCCATCACAACGGCTCCAAAGTGGTTCATGAGAGCCTCATCTACCATTAGTCGATGGCAGCTCTCTCGCTCCCCAAGCCGTTTACTAGGATGGACGCCATTGTTCGAACCCTAGATTTGACGAGTCCTCCGATTCGGCAGGATAGTTTGCCTCTGAGGTCATTTGCTGCTTCGGTTGTCGTGGTGACAATTAGATCTTTGCCCGCTTCAAATTGATCTACTATCCATGTCGTTTTTCCGCAACCAGGGACGCCATTTGTCCAGCGAAACGTCGGAGTATGCCAGTCTCCAAAAACTTCGCCGTCTGATCCAGAATCAGAAATGGATCTTGCCATCTCTAATATTCTATCGTCCAGCATAATTTCGTGCATTTGGCAACCACTACTAGGGAATCCCCTGGAGGAGTTTTAAACTTTAACACTCCGCATCGATCGGATTCCCTCTCGTCCAGAGACACAAATCCTGCAGTTGCGTTATAAGCAGCCATACTTCGAGTTATAGAGGTTCCTCTCAGTACCCTCGAGGTGTTGTTGTCGTATATGACTGCTTCTGCTGCTTCGAGTCTATCGTTCAGTATTAGCTCGTTTCCTTGCAGGTAAGTCTGCAGAATGGATTCGCATTTCCGCATGTTGACCTGCCTGGTTGCCTCCACCACTGCGGTAAACTCGAGAAAAGCATTTACGACATGGTCTCTGGTAGTGGACGCTTGTCGAAGCCTCGGCGGACAAACGTGACCCATAGCTGCTCTTGTTGGTGATGACCTGGGGGGAGGAGACTGTATTTGTGCGCCTCCTGATCCTTGAGCAGATTTAACCACATTTTTTCTGAAGGGTGACGAAATCAGTCCGGTTACTGAGCATATGGCCGCTGTTATTGCCCACACTCTACCTCGTGATTCTAATTTTTTATTTTCCCTCTCGGTGTTTTGTTGGTGTTGTTGCAGAGCGCTTTGTTGCCTATATCTTTGTTGTAGACGCTCTGAGCCGCTTGGAGAATCCACCCTAGCGCGTATCGAACTGGCTTTTTGAGGAAACTCAAGTCCTCACCCCTGTTCTCGTACACGATGACTTCATGATGTTCTGAAGCCCTGACGCATCCTATAAGGTCTGCCGTTCTCCCCTTCTCATAAGCTACCACGGCAGCGTCCACACTAATTATTCTGGGACTCATACCCTCGACCTCTCCCCGCCCACCCATGTCCGACAGCACACCGCAAGCTTGTTCAAAACAAGTCATTGAGTCGACGCTGGAGAACATTGCAATTGTTTTATTGCGTGTTCGCAGTAGTCGACAGCTCCGACCCATTGCATTTCTGGCAGCGCATCGTATGTTTTGCGCCGCATACTTGTCTTGGATGTGCTGCCATTCATTAGGGAGGCTAAGCCGGGTGAAATAGTAAGCCATTTGCTGTTCTTGCTTTCGCAGAAGGCTATCCCTAGCCTTTCGCTGCTGGTGTTCATGAACAGAGCTACACTTCGTAGCCGTATTCCTTTGGAGCCGCATTCTCCATGCAAGAGTATTTGCCTCTCATTGATGGTGTGCGGTTCAGTGGTACGGGCGATCTCGGATACTGCCATGGAAGTATTTGGTTGATTCTCCAAGTTGGCTATTCGATTTGTATTATTTAATGTGCTGTTTCTTTCAGCCGCCCTGTTGAAGATGGTTTCAATGTAGCTCAGAAAATGCGGTCTTTTGGTTTTATCAGCCAGAATGGCACTCAGATTTGAGGAATCCAGATTTGCATCTATTACATTTTCTAAGTTGGTTCTGCGGCTAGAAAACGAGGACACTCTAGAATAATGTGCCATACAGACTCACTGATAGTTGAATCGCATTCGCAACCTGCACTTTCTTTTAGTTTAAATCGATGCAGATATTCAGCGATCCCTCCATGTCCAGTCAGCGCCTGAACTTGGGCAGGTGTCAACTTTGTTGATCTCACTATTCGATATGCCTCATGGACATCTGGGAGAAACGTTTTAGTCACCTGCCCAGTAGTTGAGGTGGTATACCTGTCCTGCCACTTACGGATAGTTTCGTCCCTAATTTTCTTTTTGACATAGGACATGGGTATTCTACAGTAGTCTGCCGTGGTGTTATTTTTCTGTTTGGCAGCGGTTTTAGCTAATTCGTCTGCCCTCTCATTTCCAGCCGTTCCAACATGGGCCCTCAGCCAGTAGAATCGAATCTCTCTTCCCTGTTCCGTTATGGTCTCCAAACACTGCTTTATCTCCTTGGCCAAACAGTGGGTAATCCTGGGATTCTTCAAAACATCGAGGGAGGACCTAGAGTCACTAAATATGTTTACTCTAGTCGCTCCATTGTCGAGAACCATTTTAGCCGCTCTGTTCAAAGCGTATAGTTCAGATTGGAAAACCGTGCAGGAAGGGTCTAAACTAAAAGTGGAAAACATGGACTCACGACCGCCCTCCCACCAAGTCAAGGCAGAACCAACGCCTCCGTTAATTCTGCTGCCATCTGTGTATAATTGAGGGCCAGCAATATTTTGGACGAGAGGAGATCCAGAGTCATCGTTCTCCAGGAGCTCATAGTTGATAGACATTAATTTTGAGGGATGTGGCTGGTCCAGGTAATGGACCCGCTTTTCAAGCTCCTTTTGAGGTGGTAAGTAGTCCAGAGAGAATCCTCTTTTAATTCGATACAAACTGGCAAATTCCTGGACTCTCAGATCGAGTGGGAGAGTTCCGGACAAGATTGTTGCTGACGTGAGCGACACTGTACGATAAGCTCTACAGATTTTTTGTGTGAATCCCCTTTGAAGAGCATTTAACTGTTTTTTGATCACCTGTAGCTCCGTCACTGGGGCCCACACGTTTGCGGCGTAAAGT